ACAAAATGATTTGTATGTCCAAAATTTGCTGTCTTTTAGGCATATCGATTCAATGTTTTTTGTTTTGTCAAAAGAAAAACAAAAAAAAAAGAGTCCAAAAAATGCATATGAAAGAGCTTCATAATAGTGTAATTGTTTTTTTTCCCCTCTCTTTCTTTTCATTATACGTTTAAAAAAGTAAAAACTAAATAAAAATTGGTAAATGTGAAGATAAAAATATGTTATATATGATCAGTAATGCTTTAACACATCCCTCTAGGGCAACCGCCCAAAAGAAAAATTAAATGCAAATGTTGACTTGCAGCTTAATTGGATGATGTTTGTGATTCAACTTGACACAAGACCTCGGAATAATAATATCAAAAGCCAATGCAGACCAAAAAGAAAAAGAATTAATTTTTTATACACTGACACTATTGTATATACTTTCATCTTTAGATGCATGACATATATCCGAATTTGAATTTAAAATTCAAATTTTGTATATGTATGATACATTCAACTGTGATAGTGTATACACTGTCAGTATATATAAAATTTACTCAAAGAACAAATGTTTTGCACAAAATCTTCAAGAAATAAGTTGGTAGGATTTGAATATTCTTTGTATGATTATTTAGTAGACCGTTACTGCCAAACAAAAGGCAATGAATGATTCCAAGAGAAGAAATTGCTTGTTTAGAATTATTATTAGTTGCCAAATTGATGATTGAAGTAGATTGCTAATTTATGATATCTGCAATCCAACCAGAACGCTTTCAAATGGTGTAAGGATATCCCCTTCTTATTGTTTTAACCTACTGCTAATGGATGTTCAATGGACACTCGTTAATATGGATAAAATTATTATAATTGACGAATTTTAACATTTAAGAGATGGTGTTTTTAATTTTAGAAAACTTCTAGTAACGAAAGAATTTTACAAATGATAAAAGAGACCATTCAAACAAACAAACAAACAAAGGTGTGATAAAATTAAGTTGGATATGACTGTTTGTGCTTAAGAAAATAAAATTCAAAAAATAAATTACAAAAGCGACAAACCAAACAAATCATGTATGATATTCTAATTATCCTAATTAAACAACATGTATGTGCTTGGTTTACTGAATTCATTTTTAGGGAAAAGGTCAAGCATGTCATTTAACATGTGAATCTCTTAAAAATAGTTTTTGCAAGGATGAAATAATTAGTACATTCATTAAGTAACTTGTTTTTTATCCATATTAACGAGTGCTTAAGAAAATATCTTATTTTGATAAGTATATGGATATCCTTATTAGTTTTTTTTTTTTAAAGAATTTAGATAATACCCCCGTAGCCGAATACTTTGCCACCCGACTGTGCAACTTTAGTCTTTATAGGTTGTTGACTGGAAAATAAATTAAGGAAAGAAAAGAAAAGAGTTACTATTGCATTATGCATTTTTTCATTTATTATTACTTTTATTTATTGGTGAAAAAGAAATGTCCTTTTTAATGGTTTTCAGATGTTATTAGTTGTTAGTGTTTAATTTAACGGTGTTATGAAAATCAGATCGAAATGACTAGACGGATCGATCGAATCACAAATTGACCATGGCACAAGTGAAATATTACTAAATCCAGAAATTCTATATTATACAAACCTTCCAATATCAAAATAAATACTCAATAAATAAATCTGTGACTCAGGATTGAACCGATCAAACCGGTTTAGACCGTGAACTGAAAGTTCAACTGATTTTCTCATAGGCCCGGGCTTAGAACTCGGTGTTCTTGCAATTCAATTGCTGCAAATTGCAAAGACAGCCTCCCTGACTCACAGCTCGGAGTTTTTGGTAGCTTCCTCCCAGAACCCTTCAACCCACCATCCAAAGCCCAATGTTCGTCTTAAACCCCTGCACCCCTTCCGTCCAATTGCTCCACCTTTCACCACCCCAAACAATATCCCATCAACCTAATGACTACCCGCCATTTTTAACAGCTGGAGTTCCACGTCAATACCATTTCCACAAGAGGAATTTTGCACTCTTCACTAAGGCGACCGAAAACTATAGGCTCGAAACGAATAACCTGCAAGACAATGATGCAGACAACTATTATGAGAATGATGATGATGATGATGATGATGATGGGGATGAGAGTCAGTTTTCGAGTGGAAGAGGCTTTAGAGGGAGAGAAGAGGAGAAAGATTATGATAGAGACCCTGAGTTTGCTGAGATTCTTGGGAGTTTTCTTGATAACCCAGATAAAGCTAGGTCTAAAGTAAGTTCTTTTAATTTTTTGTAGAGAGTTTGTCTTTCTTTCTTTCCTTGTTTATTTATTGAAGGTTCACTACTGTCTACCTGCCCGGTTTATATGTGTGTTTGTGCGCCACAAAAAGACCAAGAAAAATGGGGTTATGACTGCTGATTGATGTGGTTAACTGCGATGTCAGATGGAGGACAGATTGAGAAAGAAAAGAAACAGAATATTACATACAAAAACTGGTTCAGCAGCCCCCATGAAAGTGGTATTCAACAAGTAAGTTCAATGGCATGTTTATCAAATTTCACGTAATGGCTATCTGTTTAAACGATTGTTTGCTTCGTATGATTGACATTTGTCATCATGGGCCTTTCTACGCAAGCAGCTAGCTCCTCTCTACCCCTGCCCATGTAGCTAAAGACATTTACCTACACTGTGTAGAAATGGCATTATATGGTGAATTATGTCCATGTTAAATTTGGAACTCTAAACTCGGATTGTAATGCATCTAAGTCGCCTGCATGCTAAGACTTCTTGGCGACCCAATCAACTCTGTATGTACTCACAATTGCAAATCAACACTCGAGATTGATCATGTTAAATGAAAGAGTCTCCATTTGCACGGCTAACGCCAAGAGAGACAGAATAGCAGTCTTGTAATGCTATTGAAGACGAGAAGTGTTCCAGTTCCACTTTGATCTGTACGCACTGGAATATTCCCCGACAACAGTGGCTGTTTTTGAAAATTTGATTGTCACTAAGTCTACTGAATATTACATATTTATCTTACTGCGCTAGAGTTGCTTTTCAATTCTTTTCTGATGGTTATCTCATACTATTCCTGGAATGCCTTGTATCTCAGTGGGTGAGGACCTGGCTGAAATCTCCTGGAAAAAGGGAAACAGCACATGAACAACCTTGGTTTTTTATATTTGTGATATGGAGATTTTCTGTGTATGTTGTGGAGAATCTGAATTGAGTCTAGTTGGGAAAACAAAAACCTTTACCAGTCCAAGAGGAAAGGCTACTAGCTAAGGATATAGAATCCCAAGTCATGATCAGCAAGGTGCTAGAACACTTGCAAATGGCATACTGTATTCTCCATCTTTTGCTAAATAGAATTGGATTGTCATTGGATTTCTTAGGGTGGTGGGACAGAGTGAATGTTTTGCTCTATGGATTTAGTTTGTGTACTGCTACAGGTGACTTTGGAGGATTCACTTTGCAACCAATTAAGAGTGCAAAAAAAGAAAAAGAAAATAAAAGAACACCATTCCATCCTTAATTGTTTTTTCATCCCCTTATTTTTCTGTAGGATATTTTCAGAAATGTGCATTTTCATCAGTTAACATTTGTATTCTGTTTTCAGATTTGAGTTCTCAAATTCATATATATGGTTTGAGTTCTATAATGCCCTTCTGGAGAAAGATGTTTCCTTGATATGTGATGTAAGTTTTACTCCCTGAACACCTGGCAATGACATCTTCTTGCTGCGAGTGCTACATAGCTGACTGGATTAATCTGCAGACTATTCGGTCATGGCACATTGTTGGACGACTGGGAGGATGCAATTCAATGAATATGCAAGTGCGTGCCTATAAACCATCCCTTCTACAGTCATGATTAGCGTGAAAATTAGTTTAAAGCTTCGCATTCCAACAGTCTAAGAACCGAAATAGAGCTGCGTCTTTAAGTCATGGATTAATTGAGAACCAGTCTTGTGATAAAAGGTCAGTGTTAAGAATTTTATTAAAAACTTGTATTGCTTCTTACAGCTGTCACAATCTGCTTCGGATAAAAGACCAAGTTATGATGCCGTTCAGGGAGCCAATGTCACACCAACCACATTTTATAACATCGGAGATCTTGAGATTCAAGATAACTTAGCCCGTATATGGTATACGTTTATGTTTATAAATTTCATTCCCTGGCTCTGATCTGAGAGTCATAGCGCTCATCGCTCATTTTGTTTAATTTGCTTGTGACAGGGTAGACATTGGGACTAGCGAACCATTGCTTCTGGATGTTTTGATTAATGCTTTGACACAAATAAGCTCTGAGTAAGCTTCACCCCACGTCATATCTGAACGTCCTTTGTTTCTCTTACGGAATGTATACCCTCCATCACTCTTGTCTCGGTCACATTTTCAGTTACTTTAAAGGATCCATCCTGTTTTTGGTTATGTAAAATGGAAAGTTTCTGCATTTTTCGTACAAGCTTAGATCGAATATCTTGCCTTCCTTTTATGAAATGGATAGTTGATATCACCTGTATCTTTTCAAAACAGCTACGTCGGGATCAAGCAAGTGGTGTTCGGCGGGTCTGAATTCGAGAACTGGAGAGAAAACTTGACATCAGAGGATGCAGGGTTCAGCGTTCACAAAATTTGAGCAGCGACACTCTTGCCTTGCACAATTTCCGATATTTCTCAACCTAGCGAAGAAATGAACTGGGTCCCAGATGACAGATTAAAAATGGTTTCCTGGATTTGAGATTGCTTTTGAAGGATACATTTCAGCTGAACTCGATGAATGCATGTCAAGGGAAAAGGAAGTGAATTTGATGAACCGCTTGTCATGGCAGCTAATTTGCGTTCCTCATTCTTATTGATGAATCACTAGGAACATACCAAGCGAGTTTCAACGGGATGATGGGAGCAAGATGACAAAAACTAGAAGCCACAAATTGAAAGCTGTAATTCAACAATTTTTCTTAAAGGAAAATGTTTTCTTACTTATTTACTTATCACCTGTAATGAAGCCCAGAAGTTCAGATAGCAACCAGACTACAATTAGTTGCGGGCCCATGCCATTCTGTGCTTGATTAGCTAATTTGGCATATACAAACTCGAAACACATTTGTTTTTCCAAGTGAAATGTCTCACTAATAAAACTTGGATATGATGTCATGAGTGCCAAATTAGATGCTGAATAACATTTTTCACCTGGATCAAATATCAGAAAGTACAGAAGACAGCAGGTGCTGCAGCACTAATCTTAACATCCTAATTGTAAACTAATCTAATTTTGGCACAGGTACAGGTCACGTTCATTTGAAGACAGCACGGCACTCAAATCTATGTAGTTATGTACCCACAACGAACCGTGTGACGAAAATCTCAGGGCTCCAGATATTTGATAAATCATAGCTTGAACGACAGGTACAACAGGACTGCTCCTCATCTATGCTTCAAGGATGATACTTTCTCTGCAATTAACTTTATTTCTTTCATCCTTTCATCCACCAGTTGCCGCAGCTGTTCCTCTTGATTACTCCGGTTCTCAGCCATCTCCCTGTTTGTTGCATCACCATTCAGTGACTTATACATAACAAATGATGCTTCTTGATCATATTCAGTTGGCACATCAATAACCCGTTTCCCAACGCCTTCAGAATCTTTACCGATCACATCTGCCTTTATTCTAGATGAAACAATTGTACGATAAGTCTCCAGGTACTTCTCAATCGGATCTAGGCCAAGATAGAGGAGAACCTCCCAGCACTGCAAAAATTGTCTTCTATTGATTTTCAAACTCTTCCTCACATCTTCAACAGCACTCAAAGGTGGACCACATTGGCAGGAGTGAACTTTCTTCGAAAAGTTTTCTTGTTTTAGACGTGCCACAACAGAATTAAGGGCAGCCTGGATTGGACCGAAAACAAACAGGCGTTGCACATCAATCAATGTCCGAACATGTTGAAGGGAGTCTTCTGGCTCTTCGACAGTCAGGTCATAAACATCTTCAGATACTGCCACGTTGTTAAGCACCTTGAGGAGGCTACCACCATAACCTTTGCGCTGATAAGGTGGTAATACCAATATCTGCCATCAACAAAGATCTCATACCATCTAGAAGATATAAGAGACTCAAGTCCAAAGTACATCTAAAATTCACACAAAGCTAGGTTGGTAATTTGAATATGCACATAAAAAAAAAAAAAAAAAAAAACTCAAGCAAACCTGTCCAAGACGCAAGCGCATGCTATCTGGATATCGATAGAAACGATAAACAGCTGCAAACCCAAGCAAATTAGGATGACTATCCTCCTGATGAGCAATTGCTTTCTCAACCAATACGTATATTTCCCATCTGGGATCAGTAACATCAATGGGATTGCTACCTGTTCAAAGTCGGCACCATTTAAAAGATTTAAGCTGTAGTTTAAGTGCCAAAATCTCAATCAGATGAATAAAACTTACCATCTATGAGAAGAAGTATGAATGGCACTAGGCGACTGTAAAGGTGCCCCACAGGTTCACCAACAATGCGGAACACCTAAATAAGAAACACAAATATGTATCATATTAATCTCTCTCTCTCTCTCTCAAAAAACAAGTATAGAAACAAACCGCCTCGTTTGGATTGCAATTTTGGCAAAAAAAAAAAAAATTTCTGGGTTTCCGTGAGAATATTCCTTATCACATTTTTCAATCACTTTCTTACCTCAAAAACATCACATCTTTAAAAAGTGCTACAGTATTTTTTAACAAATACTCCCAAATAATTGCAATCCAGATCAATTCTTAGCATTTTCCAGAAAATGAGTGAATTCTATGTTGCACCTCTTCTAGGCAAGTACATGTAATTAACAATTAGTGACCCAAAGAATTGAAAATTTTTAAGAGTTAGACCATCTAATGCCTTATTAGAAATGACTACTATAAATTCCAAGACAACCTTCCTTTCACCTATGAAGATGATTTGCTATAAGATTGTGCACCTGGAATTACAACCAGAGACTAGAAAACAGATTCAGACAACCAGATTATTACTCTTAAAGCAAAGGACACATTCTCTGACATCTTTACAATATTGCCAATAGAAAGCACCTGTGACGAAGCAGACAATATAGCACGCAAATGACCAGAATGGTCCCTGTTTTTTGAACTATAACATAGTACAAACCTCCAAATCTGCAGTGTCTTCTTTAGGGTCGAATTTAGAATCACCATTGTGTCCATTGGCAGCTGTTAATTTCAGTGCCGCCACGGTCGAGATAACAGATCTGCATGGAAGTAGAACTCGGAAACTCAACAGAAGTATTTCAAAATATATCTACTTAACATATGAGACTGCAGAGGTTGTAGGATTGGCACTAATAGGACTTACTTAACATATCGGCGATCACTTGAAAATTTATCTAGGAACTCATCTTTTTTCTCAACAAGATTTTCAGCAAAAACATTCTATGAGAAATGAAAGTAGGATCACAATCAAAAGGTTAGATGAACATGTGAATAAACAAGGAATAACAGTTTAGTTGTAAATATTGATTGCTAATATTACCTGAAGAGCAGCTTTGAGATCTGTGATCCCCTTGCCTCCCTTGTAACAAACAGTATGCACAAATCACTAACGAATAATGAAGGATCAGAACTGAAAAATATTCATCAAGGAAGATTCACACTTTAACCCTTCATTTGGACATATTAGTGTTACAATTTAGCAGGAAATATCAACTCAAATTCCATCCCTAACAAGCACTAAAAAGTATAATTGAACAACTGTCAGAAGGACATTGTAACCAAGAGAGAGATTGAAAGAAAAACAGGTACAGGAACAACAGAAAGACATCCTTCCCTAGACAGTTATATCTGACGTACAATCCTACTTGTATCTCAACAAAATCAACAGTATTCATACTTGACTGTAAGATATTATGTGCATATCTTCTAATCACGAAAGCTTACGTAAATGGCCCCTATGTTTGAGAGATAAGATAAAGAGCAATTCTGCCTTGTTAGCATCCTCTATCATGAATCCCAATTAGAGCAGACACTTACATCTGATGTGCTCTCAAAAGAAATATCAGCATATGCATGAAATGATATGCTGCTAACCCATATGGTAATCTGCATAAATAATAAGAACAGCATTAGGCCCAGTAAAGAGCGACAGGCAAAGATCAACATTGATGCACATGAAGTGGATTTGCACCTTTGAAATTGTGCAATCAACCACATATAAGAGTTTTTGAAAATCAATTTGACCAGATAAATATTCAAATACTTGAATCATGTTCTCATAAATAAAAACATTACTTCAATGTCCTTGTTAATTATTATCTTTTGGTTAGAGGTTGTTTATGTTTAACAAACCAGTCCTTCCAAAGGAATACTTCAGATAATCATGGCCAATTGTCCTTAAAACAGTCTATAACCATACACGGATGCTGTATGCTAAAAGTCACCATCGAACAGACTAAATCAATGTATGTCAACAGGGGAACCATATTCTGTAAATAAGTGCAGTATATGAGTAAGATGACATACACCAACTAGCCATACACGAGCAAATTGGAAAGAAAGTAAGCAAAGATGAAAGTGCTACTTATCATAGAACTTGAGGGAAGAACTTTGCACAGAGGAGATACTAACAGTCAAAAAGTACAGAAATGACATCCATGAAGGCGGAGAAATTTCACCTTCAAATTTTGATAACCATAAATCTTCCCATCCTCTTCAAAGAAGTGATTCAAGTCAACCGGTTTTATACAGAAACTGTCTGGAGAACCCACTTCTTCTTTGCTAGAGACTATAGATGAGTAAGAAAAAACAGATGACAGGAAGTTAAGGTTGCGAATTGCCTCTCTTGTAGGAATAAAAGATTAAAAGTGAGTAAGCAAATGAACTTAACTTTTAAATAACAATTTTTTTTTTTTAAAAAAAACAACTCTAATTCTGGACCATTTATTCTCATTGATTGCATCCGTCCTTCATATTTTTCCCGTCTGCCTTGAAATATTTCCCCCAAAACACTTGGTCACAATTTTATATTTTTTACTCTTCACTGAATGTGTCAACCCTGCAGTCCCCATCTTCTTTGTAAAGTTATTCTTGTTAGCCTAATTTTCAAACAGCCATATTTTCCAATTGCCGAATGATTTTAGGTACACGAACAAGCCCAATCAAATTTCAGGTGAGCTGTCAAACAAGCTGCACGATGGTCACCTTCCATAAACCAATCGCAGCTTCCCAGTTACAATTTTAAGAAAAATAGCAGCAAAATTACTACTACATTTTGCCCGGCCAATATCAACTATAAAATAAAGTGCCAAGCTCACAAATATTCTTATGAAAGAAAACTCCAGAGTTTTCTGGCCCCAAAAAGTTAAAGCTCACTTCAAATAAGATTTTTTGAAAAAAAGACGCTAAAAATCAGTTTACTTCAGAAAAGGGTCCAAATAATGCGAAATAGTGAACGTCATGAGCAGGGCTCTAAATTTTCTGCCGAGATAAATTAAAAATGACAAAACCGTGCCAAGATATATTTTGATGCACTCGTTGGCTTCAACACCAGCATCTGCAACAACATTTTTGCAGCAAAAGAAAGTAAAAAATACAGAAAATAATTAGGGAAGGAACAAAAAGGAAAGTAAAGAAAGCCAAATTGGAAGTGAATGACTCACCGATTTTGGAGAATCCAACCCGTCGTTTCTTCTTGGGGTCGGAAATCGGATCGGAGGAGGACTGATGTTTGGTTCCCATGATTTGGGGGGCTTGGGGGTGGGGGGGGGGGTTAGGGTTTTGGGGTGGTCGGGGCGGGAAAATGTTGGTCCAGGCGGGAAAATAACGAAAATGCTACTGTAGTAGTGTTTTTGTGTCCGGCTTCCTTTCCTCTCCCTCCTTGCCGCTTACATGGAGTACACCCACTCCCCGCTATTGCGTACTTTGCCAACTCTTTTATTTTCTTTCTTTCTTTGCCTTTTTTTTTTTTAAAAAAAAAAATAGTGATTGGGTTGTCTATAATCAATTGGTTTGGGCTGCGGTTGAGCCCAATTACGAAGGGATCTTGGTGAATGTGTCAAGCCGGGGGCTTTATCCTTGATTGATGCTCTTTTCGTGGGTTATAAGAGCGAACACGAGAGATTAGACCATTCCCTGTTGTAGCTCTTGGGAGTATGGATTCGGGACAAGAACTTCTAAAAGTTATAATTTTGTTAGAGCAACATTGGGCGTTTGGTCTAGTGGTATGATTCTCGCTTTGGGTGCGAGAGGTCCCGAGTTCGATTCTCGGAACGCCCCATTTTGTTGTCTTCCCTGCAAACTCTTGATCTCAGTTCTTATTTGATAGTTTCCCCTTTTGTATTGCTAGCATGTCTTTTAGACTCTCAATTCAAAATATGGAGTAAGAGGAGGTATAAGCTGGTGGCAATCTCGGATCCAGTGGTGTTTTTCCTCTTTCGTTGCACTGTTACACTAGAAGCAGCCAGCAAGTGATGCAGAAATTCACAGCCCCTAACCTTTTGCATCGACATCAAGTTTTGGATTAGAAACCATAAATGTAACACCTAACATTGTGACAAATGGAACAATGGTGCTTTTAAGTACTAGTTTAAATTATCAAAAACAAAAAAAAGGTACTACTTAAAAGTTTGGGGTTATAGTGCATTGAATGAGTGCTTTTAAGTACTTTAAAGTGTCTGATAATTAATCTTTCATAACTTAAATAGTCCAACATATAATAATTTAAAAACGCTTTTGTTAAAAGCATTTACGTAAGAAGTGTTTTTTATAAATCACCGCAACCCCCAACGATGCTTAAGTGAAATTATAGAGAATTATCAATCACATTCATGCAACATACATGGCATCATTACCCGGATTAAAAATTTCCAGCAATTTTATTAAATAATTCAAATACAAGCATGAAACTACAGTACGTGTCCGCAATATAACTTTCTGCAAAGTCATCATGGTATCTACTACTGTATTATACAACATTTGAATAATTATGTACACAAGCCAGTGATTTATTTGCACGCATTTGTTCAGGTAGACTTCGTCGCTGTTCTCGACAGCGGTCTGCATCCCACTTATAGGGGAGTCATCGAAAGGTTCAACTTCAGATGGATGATGCAAAGCAGGTGGAACACGCGCTGCATCGCTCCCCAACTTGACGTCTCCCCCAATACAAGCCTATCTTGATTCACCAAAGCCGCACAAATATGTCACACTCAAAGTGGATGTTTAATTTGGCTACATACACTAAGCGTAGCCAGTTCTTATTATTTTGGGAAAATAAAATATGTACCAGCGTGAAAGCAGATATGCTCCGACCAGAATCAAACATCAACAACTAAGCCTTCGGCACCCATAAAGCTTATAAGACGCCATCAAGAATCCAAGCATCTTCTGTACCTTCTTTCCACATCCCCCATCTCCATATAACTCTTGGATGACGGGTCATACATCTTGAAATAAGAGTACTTGTAACATGAAAGACGACATCACGGTGGATAAATAACTTCATTTCGAACAGGTTAGAGCAGTTGTCCAAAATGGAGAAAATGCATGACAGCGTAGTCTCAAAATCATGAATCTCTAAATATGCAGTAATCTCTTTCAACCCCTTCATCCGAGACCTAATTTCATCACCTTCAGGGCAAATATACATCTCGAAAACTGACCAAGCCCAAGGGGTGAAAGTAAGAGAGCTGACATTCGGGAAAACACTAAACAAGGACTCAAAACCAAACTTAGATACTCCCATTAGTTCAGAAGATTTTGTTAAGCCTAGTTTCAGGTTCTTAACTGTTTTACCAAATGGTAACGAACAAAGCAGCCGGCGAAGGTCCAAGGATTCAAGATGAAGGTTTGTCAAATTGACAAACTCTTCAACTTTGAAGCTGCTAGCCTCTTCAACAGAAAGATGCAAATCAGCCAATGATGGAGTCTCAATAACAAGTGCTCTTGGCCTCACACATTTGAGTTTTAGTTTAACAAGATTTGGAGCAACTATAGTAACAGAATATACAGCATTAGACACAGTCCACCGACAGGCTTTAAGCTGCAAAAGATGGATTTTGGGATCTTTAAGACCTCCAACCCCAATCAAGTTGAGAACTTGCAGACCTGGGAAGCTCTCATTTACCTTGTTGAGGTCCTCATCATCCAGTCTAATGTACTCAAGTGTTAACTTAGAGAGTTTAGGCATTGGTTTCAAACCGTCCACTGACAACCAAGCATTCCTGATCTGTAGCTCGGCCAGCTTATGACCTACACAAAAGGAAAATAACACCATCAATTGATAAACAGAGAACCATCTTTAAGGAAAACCCAATGAGCTCTTTCAAAACACCAAGAAGCGCTCACACATTATTTTCCAAAAAAATGAAGGCAAATTTTTAGAGGAATTGAGAAAATGTGAATCCTATCAACTGCAGGTCCCTCAAGGAATGTTCTACAAAATTTCCATCATCGTACTTACAAACTAGATTGAAGTAAATAAAAAGAAATCCAAGCTACAGTGAAATGAAAACTTTATCCTCTACCCTCTTTGATGTCCCGGGTCAGAAAGCAAATAATAATCTTTCTTTCACTTTTTCCTTTTCAATTTAAAGGTTGTAACTAGCACAGTTTACCATAAAGATGCAGCAAATTTTGTACAGGAAACGAGTCCAATTTCAAACTAACACCAGTTTTGATGTAGAAATGAAACTGGCCTTCAGGAAACTCACAAAATTGAATGGCAGTAATTCAGTAAATGGGGGAAAAAAACACAAAATATAAAATTTCCCTCCTCTTTTTAACTTGCTTTTTTCTTTGTCTTCTCTTCTTCTTTCCATTCCATCATTAGCATTGCCAAATTTTTGCAAAGTCTGATCAATTACATTAGAAAAATATCAATGCCATCATCCAGCCATATCGAGTTAACGAACTCATCAGCCACATCCAGCTAGAAATGCAACCCAATTGTGTATTTGTTCTCAACTGTTCACACTAAATTGATAACGAATGGGCGATGCTGAGTCAAAGTAAGCCAAAAACCAGAGAAACAAATATTACTTACTAGTGATTTCATTTCACAAGAAAAAAGCATGACAATCAATCAACTACAACAAATACTAGTATATAGTAAATAAATGTCAAACGAGGGGGACTCACAGTAAGAAGAAATGAGGGATAGCACCTCGGATCGTCGCCAACAAGATTGCACCCAAAAATCGGAAATTGAAAAAGACGTCAATCCATCGGAAACCTTGGGCAACCACTCGCCAACAAAATTTACCTCTGTCAGATACAAATCATCATCTTCATCTTCTACATCGTCGTAAGACACGGTACGGAGCGGCTTATCGATGCCGATTGTGACGGACTCGACGATTCTCAACTCGGAAACCAAGTTTTTAAGGATGGTTTTGAAGGGCGTGATGGAGGATCGAGTGAGGGGACAGCGAGACTTGGCGTAGCGGTCGAAGGAGCAGTGGAGGTTGATGGATCGGATATCTCGAGAGAGGGAGTTGAAGGTCTTGGATGCCACTCGGCAGCGAGCGAGGTCAGCTGAGTCGCCTAGTCGACTCAGGACGTCGAGGATCAATGGCGGAGGGAGATCGTCCATATGATACTAGTGATACATCCCCACAACACGACTCGAGGTCGAGGATGCAGCCAAATCGAGGTTCAGCCTGGAATCTGCGGTGATTTTGGCATTTTACAACTTTTAGTATACCAGTTGTTGTAGGGGCATTTTCGGAAGTAGCAGACTAGAACTCAAAGTACCGTGCTTAAATTAGGTTGGCTGCTTAGGATGAAAATGAATAGAGTCGAGTCAAATTTTTATCTAATTAAATTAAATTTTAAATTAATTTTATAAAACTTGAATTTGACGAGTTTAAAATGTCAAATTCAAATTTAAATTTAAAAAATTTGAAAAAATAATTATTTTATTTTTAAAAATAAATAAAATAATAATTTTTAAATAAATAATAAAATATTTAAAATATATATACAATTTTACTGTCAAAATTATAAATATATATATATACTTGAATTCGATTTTAAATTCAACTTAATTAACTTAAATTCGATTAGAACTCGAATCGAGCTCGCTTCGAACTGCTTGCTCGAGATTGGCTCCAAACGGTTGGATTCGTTAGTCCGGATGATTGCTAGCTAGCTAGCACACGAACGTCCCAAAGGTACTACAATGACATACTCCAAAATTACTACTGTAGTTATAAGAATCCATGTCGTTGCCATAATGTATGTACAAAGGTAGCTAATTGTTTTGCAAACGGAAAATCTTCGACCTGACGTCGACACCGGAGGCCAAAGTGATGTAAATGGAGTTGTGAGCGCACTTCCGGTGGTCTAATTGCCTTCCCGTCTTGTTACTTGTATGTCAGAAGGGTTAAAAAGAGAGCTAAGAAAAGGGAAAAGCAGTGGAATAGAACAGACAAGCGAGGATGAAAAAGTCATTTAAACGGAGGAACGGGAGGCTGGCTCTGGCTTTGCTAGTATAGTTTCAGAAGCGTCCGATTAAAGCAAAGCAAAAAACTAATGCAACACCTGCGTCGTCTAAGCGCTTGATTTTTCAGGTCTCTGTTTGTTTTCTTGAGCTTACGCTCTTTTTACTTTTTGAGTGGTGATACTCAACAAAGCAGAGGATGGGCGACGCCATGAATGGCGGAAACCCCTTGGAGTCCGCCCGCTTAGCAGCTTTTAAGAAGTCAGAAACCCTAGAAGGAACTTGCCCCGTAATTCAGGGCTATGATTTCAACCAAGGCGTCAACTATCCGGAGCTTCTCAAATCAATGGTCTCCACTGGTTTTCAAGCCTCCAATCTCGGTGACGCCATTGACGTAGTTAACCAAATGGTCAGTCACTCGAATCCAGGATGTATTAATTGATTAACC